GGCCAAGCGTCCAAGTTGGACGCCTGGAGGCCTTGGTCCGTTGGGCTTCGCGGCTGGTTCGTGATTTTGGCCCAATATCGCTCCGTTTTGGCCCCGAACACTGTTTTTGACCTCCCGGAAGCTCGTTCAAGCCTGAACCTTGATCCCTTGATGATTTATTCCCTTTTTCTCAAGTATTTGAACATAAAATGGATGATTTATGATAATTTCATGTGGAATCCCATTTTATGACTCTTAGAACGAAAATGAGAGTTTTATTCATTGAAATCACATTTTATAAGATGATTAAATACTATTTACGTGCAATAACGTTTAGATTATGATGTAAATGATAAGAACGAAATGGACTTATCAGAGACGTGGAGCACTACATCAAACGGTGTGCTGTTTGCAAAGCCGCCAAGAGCCACTCATTAGCCCAAGGAAAATATCTTCCCCTCCCCATCCCCACGACACCACGGGAAGATATTAGCCTCGACTTCATCACGGGGCTGCCTAGAACACAACGAGGGAAGGACTCAATCATGGTCCTGGTAGATCGGTTTTCAAAGATGGCCCATTTCGTGCCATGTCTAACCACACATGATGCTTCACAAATCGCTGATCTTTATTTCCGCGAGATCGTCAAGTTACATGGAATTCCCCGAAGCATGGTATCAGATCGCAAGTTCCTTAGCCATTTTTGGATGACACTTTGGAGAAAGATGGGAACCAAGCTCAAGTTTAGCATCTCTCACCACCCTCAAACCGACGGTCAAACAGAAGTGACCAACCGAACTCTCGGTACGTTGCTACGGGTGCTCATCAAGAGGAATATAAAGCAATGGGAAGAACTACTGCCCCATGCAGAGTTTGCATACAACCGGACACCTAGCAAAACAACCGGATTTTCTCCATTCATGGTTGTTTACGGCTCAAACCCCCTTACCCCACTTGAACTTGATCCTATTATGATAAAGCAGAAATACAGTGCGGAAGCCGAGGAACGAGCTAAAGAGATTCAAGACCTTCATGCCAAGGTACGAGAGAAGATTGAAGCTACCAATGAAAGAGTGAGTGCGCGCATCAACAAGAGAAGGAAGTCTGCCGAATTCAAAGCCGGAGACTTAGTTTGGATTCACCTCAGAAAAGAGCGTTTCCCCACGAAACATAAGTCCAAGCTACTGCCCCGAGCGGACGGTCCCTTTGAAGTACTAGAAAAGATCAATGACAACGCTTACAAGATCAACCTGCCCGGAGAATATGGAGTCTCCGCCAGGTTCAACATTGCCAACCACAGTACCTACTTTGAGCTAGAAGATATTTCGAGTTTGAGGTCAAACTCTTTTCAGGAAGGGGAGGATGATATACCCCAGGTTACACCTTCACACAGGCCACTGATATTAAAAGAAATCAAGTGTTTAATGTCTAGGTGTTATGATCCATTTTGGGTTGAACTCATTGATCCAGCCCACACCAAAACCCAAACCATGACTTATCTCTCCCAAAACCCAACCTAGGCCAAAATGCCTACAAAGCCCAACCCACTCCCACATATCCAAAGTATTTTTACTACTCAAATAAAGCCCTTTTCCTCTCCCTTGAAGCCCTGGCCGAAATTGAAAGGGAAGGTACAACCCAAAAATAATGTGAGTGTTGTTTTCTTCCCTAAATATTCCTTTCAGCAAATAAGAACCTTCCCCATCCCTTTCTACTTCAAAATCACGAAAATATGCCCCCATTTGTCCTTAAAATCAGTCCCCATCCATCACAAACATTCCCCACTACAGGAGGAACAAACCAGGGGACAAGGAATAAAACATGTCTTTTGTCCTGTTGTGATAATAAATCAAACCCACACCCTTTCACACCCCCTTATGCCCCTGGCCGAATTCAGCCCCACAAATATCCCATTTATCACCCTTCAAATCCACAATAAAACCAAAGGAATAAAGGATAATCTTTAATGTATTATTCCTCATGTGTGGACCAAAAATCCAGCCCCTCACCTCACCCTTCACATAACCAAACCACCCCCTTCCCTCATCCTTCACATGGCCGAAATCCCCACACCAAAGACACCCCATTTTCACCCTTTAATACTGATCAATGAGGACAAACCAAAGGCATAAAACAAATGGATATTATACACTTGATTGTAGGAAAGTGGTAGGAAGCTTCCCCTTAGTTTTCTCCCCCTTATTTATTTCGGCCAAAGGCCTTGTAAAGCAGCACCAGTTTGTAATTTTATTCCCTTTACTCTTTGAGTAAAATCTTTGAATTAGTGTGAAGCTAGTTCTCCCCATTTCCTAATGAAATATCTCTAAAGTTGGCTACTTTTGAGTGTGTGTTAGGAGTCTATTTCATATAATAGTAGTGAATATTATTGTGTGAAAAGAAATAGCCCCAAATAAAATAAGAGTGTGTTTATCTCTTATTCATTATTTGGTTTATCCTTATACAACCAAAAAACCACCACAAAACTCCCTTCTTTCTCTCCCAATTTCGTCCATCCCCTTTCCCCCATTTAAACACTTCATCTCTTCATCAAATACCACTCCATAATATTTCTTTTCTCCTGCTCTTCATTCTGCCATATCACCTTTTCCAAACAGCCATACTATCTTCACCATTTTATACTCAAATCCAACTTATTCTTCATCATATATTCCCCTCTATAATCTGCCCTTATTTATCCATAGTCTTTTCCTAAGCTTGGGTACATCACAACCTCACCCTTCTTCCTTGTTTTTATTCCATTAAAATAAGTGGACATTATTCCCCAAATAAGTGAATGTACAAGGAAGCTTCCCTCTCCCCCCTGGTGTGCTTTTATATATCTCGGCCATAGGCCATTGTAACAGACATCTTTGAATATTAAAATCCCTATTACTCTTTGAGTATTAATAAAATAGTGTGATGCTATTTTAGCCAAATTCCTAATTCTATATCTTAAGAGTGGTTATCTTAAGTGTGAGTTTTAGGTTCTAGATATTTGATTAAGTGTGTCATATCTTACTTAAATTCTAGATTCAAACCCCAAGTGAGGATAAGAGTGTGTTATATCTTTTAAACACCAACTTGGTTTATCCATTCCTGATTTTCTTCCATTTCATACCTTCCCATATTCTCTTCCTAAACCTCTTCTTTTTCTTCATAAAAAAACATCAAAAAGAACTCCAAAAAACAACTCCCATATTTCGCCCCATATACTTCTGTGTTCATTTCCTCCACAAATTCACACAAAATTAGCAATTTGATAAGACCCCCCGTTTCACCCCTAACAAACTCAGGACATAGAGGCGCAATCTGATGAACTCCGGGCACAAATCTCCATTCTGGAATCAAGGGCCTCAGCTTCAGAAGACAAAGTGGGAAGTCTGGAAGCTGGTTTGGTTGAAAAGGAATCCCGGATCTCCGAGCTAGAGAATTCCCTCCAGGAGGCCAAGCATGAGGGTTCCCGTCTTAACGAACTCGCACTGAAACAGATGGAAGCGAGACGGCTTACCCTCGAGAAGTTGAAGGAAGAGAGACAGACTGCAAGCGAGCTCCGGTCAAATGCAACACTGCATTTATGGGGCGGTCCGGAGTGGTCTTCCAGCTCACCGTTCTCTAGACGACTTCATCTCCCGTTACGGATTACCTCTCCCTCTTTCTCCCCCAGATTCTCGTAGTGACCCGGGGCCTTGATTTTATCCCTCTTTGTTGACTGTTGTAGTTCGCTTTGTAACATTTAGTTGGTAGTAAATTGATAACACCTGATATATTTTTGTCCTCACAGACTCCTTTTATTAAGCTAACTGTTCTCCTTTTAGGATTCTTATCTCGCCTTAGGACTTAGCAGATTTTTTATCCGCCTAGGCTTCGGGCTTAACTGCGTTCACAAAATGCTGTTTCTCTTGTTTATCATTGTGCTAAGTGACTGGTCCACCTTAACTACGCCGGGCCCAATTCACCCTAGCCCAATAATAAGATGGTGCAACCCTAGCTTTCCTCGGGAATCCGCAACTGCTTCCCAATCGGATAGGCGCTCTGACTCCGCGTCCCTTGCACTTCTCCTTTGGGATTACTCGCCTATTTAAGGGACTAGGCTGAACCCCTCCATCATCACAATCAACTTCTCAACATGGCTAATAACGCCAACATAGTTGTCTTTATTGATCTTACTATTTCCGATTCCTCCTCTGATTCTTCTTCGTTGGCATTCCCTTCACTTGGGGCCCCAACGCCTGAGCTCTCTTCTGGGCCTTCTCTTGCCTCTGAACAATCGGTGACTTCTCCCTTGCCCAGGGTTCTCCCCCTCCTCAGCAGTCATATGCATAGCAGCCTGAGGAGTGGGGGGACTACGACATGGGGGGAAACAGGCTCCCATTTATACGCAGGGAGAAGGATAGGACCTTCCGGGATCCGCCTCCTCCTCCCGTGTAGGCGGAGATAGGCCTTGAGTCCTTCCCTCATGCCTTACCATCTTCTCTATCCGCCTTCATGGGAGTAGCCGAATGGTTCTCGCGGGGGGATGGCTTTCAATCCCATCCCCTCGGTACCATTTCGCCCATTATGAATGTCATGAAGAGAAAACGGTGGGCTCTCTCTCCACACCTCCCCGCTCTGGGGTTCTTTTCTGGTTCGGCAGGGGAACAAGGGTCAGCAAATGCACTCCTTTAGATCTCAGAAGTGTCGATCCGCCTTGCCTTCAGACTTTTCCAGTAGTAGGATAGAAGTAGATCAGGGACAAAGTTCATTACTGTAACCCAAAAGAATGTAATCTTCTGTTTGAGTTATTTAATGAAAATCTTTATCTCCTGTCGTTTAATATAATTGCGTTGCATGTGCCGCCATCTGCATGGAGTAGAAGTCTATATTCATTTAACTCCTTACCTTCCAAGGATGACGTCTTTCCCAATTCGCAGATGGGCCCCATTAACTGGCCCATGCACTTAAGTGGCGAAAACCTCTAGTCAAACCTTGGAAATCTTCGACCGCTTCTTTCGCCAATCGCTTAGTCTTTCACGTCTTCCAACCGCATTCATCACTTCCCAACTATCCCTTCCCTTTTCACTATAAATGGGAAAGGATGGTTAGCTGCTAGTCCATCCCTTTCTGACTTCTTCGCCATGGCAAGTAAATCTCAGAGTAAAATCGTCATCGACTTAACCCTCTCCGGGACATCTTCTTCTTTGGATGATGATTTCTCCGCCTCTTCGGCTCAATCCAACGATATGGCTGGGTTGAGTCCCGGCGAGTTCTCAAGACTTTATCCAACAACTCGCCTCCCTGCACCATCTCCTCCTAGTCCACCCAGGCTTCCATCCGGAAGGATAGACTGGGACTCAATGACCCTCCAGGACTTCGCCTTGTACCAGAGGGTGCGCAGGGCTAGACTTGGGCGTTCTTTGCCAATTGTTGAGGCGGAACCTTCAGGTGAAAGCCGGACTGCTTCTACAAACTTGCTGAAGTCTCCCAACGATAGTTCTTCATTGAGGGCAGCAACTCCCCGTCTTGGGACATGGGAAGAATATGACATATGGGAAACCGCTGCGTGTCCCTCGTCAAAGAGAAGGAGCCCATGGAAGGGACCCCCACCTCCTTCTTGTTGACTGCATGGACGCAATAGGCCCTCCTTCAGTGCTTAGCCCCCTGCAACTCAAATTTCTTTTCCTTGTTTTGTATCAATAGGCATTCACTTGTTTGGTCCAGGAGTTTTCCCTGCGTCCCAAACTAAGGAATGTTCCCTAATCTCAAATTAAGAATTATCGTTGTAATTCAAAGATACAACCTCCGAATTAACAATCGATGAACTCCCTCATTTTCTTTTCTTTTTTATGTTACTAGGAACCTTTATTGTGAACCAAAAATGTAAACTTTGGCCCATCAATGTGGTCCTTAGTAGTTATTTCTTTGTACCTTTTCTAATGCAAGTACATAATTCATTCTCTGTATAAAATCTCACCTCCTGGGGTTTGGACATGCCTGGGGAACTTATCTCGTCTGCCCCTTGCCTCCTTTCCTCCGGGTTAAGGCATAATCTTATCTACCTTAGATCAATTGAGCTCCAACCCTCGAAGTTTGTTTGCTCGGTTGATCTATGCTGGTGGAATACTAAGCTTCAGTCCTCGAAGTGTGCTTGATGTTCTTCCTGAATTCCAGGTTGTAAAGGCCCTCAAAGTCCAATCCCAACCCTTCCTTCATTTTTGACGGAGGCATAAACTTATCTACCTCCGGGGGGCATAAACTTATCTACCTCACATATTTTTAGCAGGTGGCATAAACTTATCTACCTCCCTATAATGCGGGTCTATATCGCCCGGGGGTGCTC